CTAAAAGATTATAAAAAAAGAAATACTTCTTTTATGAAGATGACGTAAAATTAAAATAAAATAGAATAAACGCAGATAGGAAAACCAAGATGTTATGGCCTCTACTTTGGTCGATGTCCCCTTGCAATGCATAGAAGTGATCTGAATTAGTTTTTGTAACATGCTCGCGTTGTCAGAGTATCTTAGTTGGACAAACCTTGTCGAAGGTCCTCTGGTATACTAGTTAAGATTATTCACAGCGCTGGATCGTGGACTTGGTACATTCTCAGGCGTCAACTATGTCATCTTGACAACACGACCAAGTTGCAAAAATAAGGTCAGACTACTTCAAAATATTGAAAGGAGACTGCAACCCAAACAAAGGCCACAACATTTTGGTCTTCATATCTACTGGTATCAGTTAAGTTTGTTTGTTCGATGATTCTAGCAAGCTGTCTCTTTTTCGAATCTCCCGATTCAACAGGTGATCATAGTTCTGGCCATTTACTTTATTTCGTGTATTTTCAAGCCACCGAATATTAAAAAAATAAAAGCAGTTACAAGTTGTGCTCAACTAGGTCGACCTGAGAACACGATTAAGTTAGAAGTTTAGGAGATGATGAGTCAGCATAACAAGAGGAAGCTTGAAGAATGCAGTTAACTAACATCTAAATTCCTTGGTGAAGGCTACGTTAAGATAGGGATAAAAAGTTATATAGGCTAACAAATTAAGGCAGATTCGGTTATATGCAATAGAACTACAAATTTATAAGGTGCTCAGGGTAAGGCAAAGATAAAAAGGGGAAATGTTGAAAATGTATAATATCAAGGTTAAGAGCCCAAATAGGGAGGCAACCTGAAGTATAATAATACTAAAGAGCTTTTATCAGCTTAATTCGTTCCACCAGGCAAATGCAATACAGGGAAAACCGGTTTAAGTGGTAAGGTGGCATAAAAACAACCCTTAATCTAATCTTTAACAAATATAAAGAACAACAGATGCTCGCTCTCATGATAAAATATAATGGCGCTCATAATATTTAGAGTTAATATGATATATGTAAAGCCAAAAGGCATATTTGAAAGAATAAGACCCATTTATATCTAGTATAGGACATAAAGTATTGCATATTAAGTAGATACATACATCACTAACTAATAAAATGATGGAATGTAAACCTAAAGCGTTCTTAAGCTGGGAGTATATAAAAAACACTTTAAACACAAAATGGTAAAACAAAAAATTCAATGGGAATCTCTCACTAGTAAAAAGAAGTAAGGGATTTAGCATATCAGCTAATGTATTTTTAAGCAAGGCCATTTGATGAAATAAGAATAAGCTCATTCGAGTAGAAG